GGTGGGGGGGGCGGCTGGAGTTGAAGGCAACACCGGATGACAAAAACTGAACTTGAACTTAACTGCCCGGTTACCACGTACGTGACACTGAGACTACGTGTCTGCGTACCGTGTACGTAAACACCCCGTTATGTCAAACGCCTTAAGCTGCGTTCACACGGGAGTGGGTGCTATAGAAATGATCTAGATCTCCATTAGTACATGTATTATTATTATTATTGTTTAAAAATGAAAAAAAAATTGCTGTATTTTACGATTTCACTTTGTGTTAAAACAATACCATGTTGGTTTTAAAACAGAAAATATCTGAAATAGATCTAAATACAGATTACCGGTGTATCGAAGGTTTCAAGAGAAAAACAGAACAGGATCTGATTTGATTAGAGCATAAGCTTATTTTGTATTTAGAGGTTGTTTCCAAAATCTCTCGTCAATTTTTTGGGTTTTTTAAGACTAAACCTCATACACTTCTAGATTTTTGCATGAACCAAGTACCCGGTATGTACATGTACTAAATTTGGTCAAATTTTATGCCTTCATTGAAAAGCTATTTAAAAAACCGAGGGTTCCGTTATTTTGTGTCACGTGTTATCATATTATATTTGGTCGATAACTTTATTGTTAACGTACTCGTGTCTTGTTACTAGTAAATGTTAATTCCATTTGATGAATGTGTATTGTTTGTCATGATTTTTTAAAAGGCTGTGCTGCTTTTATGCTACCGGTACTCAAAATTGTCATGTTTTTTAAACAAAAAATGTTAGGCCCGTACTAATGCCCCTGGGATGGGAAGGTTGCAATTTTTTGCAATTTTTAGGCGGTTTACCTTGCAATTTTTTGCAATATTTCTATTTCAAAAATGCAATTTTCCGCGGGGCCAGACAAGTAAGGACAAGTAAGTGGCCCAAAAGGGGTGAACAGGGTATATGCAGCAATGAAACAGTTTTGAGTGTTGTGCAAACATGTTGCCTTCACCTCCTTTGGTAGACTCTTCCAGCCTCACTACTTAAGCTTACTTAATCAAAGCTTATGACTGCTTATGGAGTGGCCCGAAAGGAGTGAACAGGCTATTTCTGCGGCAATGAAACTGTTTTGAATGTTAGGCATACTGTTCATTGGTGAATATGAACGTTTTTACCTTTAATTTATGAGGTTTACGTTTGTGGGTGAAATTGACAGCGACAATGTTTCAAAATTAGGAAGGGAAGCAGTGATTATTTGATTTAAATAGTATAGACGCTTCGCCACTGGATGCGAGAGTATTTCAACAGTCTCCTGAACACACCACCACCAAATAACCTGCCAAGCATCCAATCAATTGTGATGCTCCTTAAAAACAAGACTGGATGACATGAAGTAAGAAGCTGAACAAAGAACAACGGTGAAGCGGCCGGTCCTGATCAGATTCCACACGAGGCCCTATGACTGACTACAAAAACCAATGTGACGGCAGTGGCAGTCCTCTTTTTCACACTCAGTGTTTACCCAGGGTCTGGAATGAGAGTGAGAACAAGTTCCCAAAATACGGGTATATTGGAAAAAAGACACCTCAAGAAACGTCTAAAAAAAAGGGGGGGGGGGGAATCTCAGCGACTGCAGCAACACCAGAGGGATCATTCACTCTTCTCTCAAAAGGCCTACCAGGTAAGGAATTCAACAATAAAATATGGAGAGAATCAAGACTGCAAATGATCCAAGACTTCGGGATGAACAGGCTGGTTTTCGGAAAAATCGCTCCAAACACTGACCAGATTGCTTCGCTAAGGATCATGTTCATAGTCAGTGGAATAATCCGTCCCTAGAGTGGAACTTTCAGTTGATTGTCTACTTCCTTGACTTCGACGAAAGCCTTTAACAGTTGAGTATAGACCGAGCAACACTATGTGATTTTTTAACATTCAACTGGGTAATGAATGGGGG